TTCTCCACTGCATTCTTCCGACTGCACCTCATCATCCGACTGAAACCAGTGCCCCTTAAAACTTCTCTTTAATAGACCAAACACGCTGCAGTCACAGAGGCTGAGTCCAGGGCTGTATGTGTCGATTCTGTTGAATGAGGTCATAAACTATTTGAACAATTCTGAAATTCTGTCACTGTCGACGATCGACTGGAACGAGGGTCATCCTTCATTGATTGATGGCCGCCTGCAAACTTCCTACACCAGTTGAAAATGGCGGCACACAAAAGGTGGCACAAACTGCCTTTCTCTGAAAAATGGTAGCTGACTTTTTGCCTTCTGCTGCCAAAAACTGTATTACAGCTCATTGGGCACCTTTGGAGGAGTCCATATTGTTGGTTTGGTCATCGGTGGCTCAAACCAAAACCTGTAATGAAGTGTCGCACTAAGATTATGGTTCAACATGCACCACAGCTTCTTTATATGCAGTGTTGCCAACAAAAAATAAATCTACTTATTTTATGATTAACCCTAATATAATACAAAGATTTATTAATTCTTAGGTCAGTGCATTCAAATGTAACACAGAAGTATGCCCCTTTATTTTCTTTTGGGTCTTACACTAGAGTTTCATTACAGTCCAAGGTGCAAAAGACATGAGTCAGCCTGATCTGGAAGGGTGCATGTCAGAAGAAACAAATGGAAGGACCCATGTGGCTACCACCTTGGGAGTTGACACATGAATCTGATCTATTTCAACTATTTTGTTTTTTTACATTTCTATGTTTTAATACCAACTCTATCATAATTTTTTTACAAATTTTATTACTCTTAATTCTAATGTTACTCATATATTAATCACATGTCTCCTTTTATCCCTTTCATCTGATAGATCCTTCCAGCTCATGTCTACTTTTACTGTAAACAGTAGTACATATAATATTCAAAAATTTGAAGAGAATGATCAATTTGTTTTTCAACATGTGTAAACTTTCAGCTGAGATATTGTGCTACAGATTCACTTTTATTGCCTGCTATTGAATTTCAAAAACAAATCATTTTGCTATATAATTTCAAAGAAGGAAGCTTTAGCTGAGTAACACTCTCTCTTGAAGTGCACTTATTTTTTCGATACAGTGTATTGTATAGAGGAATAATCAAATTACATGTTTTAGATTATATGTAACTTTAAAGCTTTATTTTATTTACAGCTTAAATTAAACTTATTACACATTCATTAGTTTAGTAACACACATTCAATAAATGTGAAAGTGAGTAAAATTGTGCTTTTTTCACAAAGTTTTCAATGTTGTCTGAAGAAAGATAATGAGGAATGGTTTTATGCACCATGTAAAATTTTTTTTAAATTACGGAAATTATTTTGTGCAAAGCACATGATGTGGTACTTGTTAAGGAATCCCCAAACATTAAAAAAAATCCTTTTGACTTAAACAAGAATTTTGATGTCATCTGAGATATTCTCAGATGACATCACTTTTCTTTATTCTCCAAAAAGAGAATTGGAGAATAAAAATAAAATGGAATTTTGCTGGTGATTATTCTCTGTCTCAATTTTAATAATGATATCTGATTTGAAAAATCTAGGATTTACTATAGTTAATAAAAAAAAATAGACAACAAGCAATTTGAAATTAAAATTTGCACACTAAGTAAACAATTACCTGTCAAATGAGATATTCAGTATTACTGTAGGTGTTTTAGAGCAACCTTATAAAATCAGCAACTCTGATATATATACGTAGTCATTCAGTAATTTTGTCAGTTGGTGCAAAGTCACTGCTATGACACTCAATTTTTAAACATGGTATTTCAACTGACACAAAACACAGTACATGTCAAACAGGGTTGATAAATATCAATGTTAAAAACAGTAAAATTAGCATTACTTTTAAAAATTAATTATTTTAAAGGTTTTCTCACAAACTTTTTACTTTGGCTTTGAATGATTTTAATTCCATTTTAAATTGCCAAGAAATTAATAATTGATATTTCACAGTTCTTGATTGATATTCTATTCATGTATTTAATTTTGAATTCAATTCAAAATATGCATCATAATATAATTATAAAAGTTTGAACATATTTTTCTTGACAACTATAAGAGGAAAGAATCCAACATCTTATACCCCATTCTATCCCAAATAACATCTAAATTACAAATGATATCCATTCTTAAATTTCTCAGTAACAATGAAAAGAAAGTGTATGATAGGTCTAAAAATTGATCTGAAAACTTCTAGTCATTGACTAAGGCCAAGATTCCACTAGTGTAAAAATGGGCGTATAAACCTTTGCCATAAGAACTTTTAATCACGTGACCTATTTGTGTTTGCGTCTGGATTGCAGTGGAGGTCCAGTCAGCAAAGATTTTATGGCAACGGTACTATCGAAGTTATAAAGACAATGATTATATTCTGAGTTTTTCTGTACTATAATTACAAATGTAGTAAAAATAATAAAAGTTAATATATGAAAGTAAAGATGTTATCATATTATTAAGATAATATAAGCTTAGCTTTTTTATTATATACTCTATTAAATTGAAGGATTTTCCTTTGGCCATCCATATCGTGTGTTTTAGTCACCCATTATTATAATCAAGATACCTCTTGTCGTTGATACATGAATACTTTCTGATGTTTTCGATAAATCTTTCCAGATCTATTCTAGAGTAGCCACGAGAGAACATACACAAAAGCTCGTTTTCCGCCATTTTTGCACCATGTCACAATGACCTAGATTTCACTGACTTCTGATTGGTGGATGGTACCATTTTACGGCTGTATTCATGTCGAAAGTTAAACACTGCTCAACTCGCTTTTACGGTTTGCTCAGGCATAAAATATCATGGTCACATGATTAAAAAGTTTTTACGGCGAGGACTTTTATGCCCGTTTTTACACTAGTGGAGTCGTGGCCTAAATCAATCCCCAACATGGTCAATTTTGATCCTCAGGAATCAGCATGACTTCAAGGATTGACTGAATATGGTTCACTAAAAAATATTAGTCAAATGGGGATGTATTTGTTACTGGCCAAACTAATTTATCCTATGCATGTCAGGATATACTAGTTTAACCTAGGATAATGTAGTTTGGCCTAAATACTTTTAAGCTTAACTAGTTTGACCTAGGCCAAACTGATTTATGTACTACAAATAGGTGCCAGCATAAAAAAAATTATTTTGTAGTAATTCGAAATGCCACCACAGTACACCCGGTAATTAAAGTGTACCTAGGTAACCCCAATGGCGGTGTTTCGGTTAGGTTGGTTTGATTACATTAACTACATAAATTTTAGTAGACGTTTCCTTTTTTCTTTTGTTCAAAAAGTACCGTGAATCAATAACCCTGCGTTTCTTTATGCAGCACTCAAGAAGACCTTTACAGCGAACACACTGAAACTGGTTTCTAATTGGCCAACACTGTTCGTGCCATCTTTTCGCTACACTCTCGCTGCATATAGAAACGCAGGGTAACTAGTAACGTTAAACAATGGGCGGCCTGCCGGCTGCTCCCTTCCAGGAGGAGTTCGCCGGGAGCACAAACAGTCCTAAGTGCTGCCATTGGGGTTACCTAGGTACACTTTAACCCACCCTGTAAAAATAAATAAAAGATTAAATATTTTATATTTTACACTAAGAAACACAAACAAGTTCATTTTTAATTTTAGTTTGACTTTAAAAGTTATTTTTATTATTTTGTTTGAATTTTTGAAAATATTTTTGAAAGTTAATTACCTTTAAACTTGCATGGCTTAATAAAAAAAATACAAACTGATAAGTACTGATTAGCTTATTGTTATTTCATAGTTTTGTATAAGTGTTGTGTCACTTCTAATCAATACATTTTTTATAATTAAGTAGACTATGTTTGAATAAATATTGTTCATCTAATTGATTACCTTTTAATTTTATTTTAACCATTAATATACTTAAATCAGGCCTGGCCAACTCGCGGCCTGTCACATTAAACTGTGTGGCACGCTAAGCGATGTTATATACCTATTAAAACTTTCGTTTTCCATTTTATGTACACCAAAACAATTAAATAAATGAAAATTTGCATGTGTCATTGTTATAATGTGCAAGTGCGAGCACAAACTCTTGTTATAACAATGAAATCTTATTCATTTTGTATTTGTTTTACTTTTTTAAAAGCATGTTTGCCTAAATTGTGGCCCATTGTAATGTTATGCTTGATCAAAGTGGCCCGTGAAACAATTTGGGTTGGCCAGGCCTGACTTAAATAATAATTCTAAATCAGTTCGGCCTAGGACAAACTAGTTAAGCCTAAAGTATTTAGACCAAATTAGATTGTCCTAGGCTAAACTAGTATATCCTGACACGCATAGGATAAACTAGTTTGGCCGGTAACATATATAACAGTTCAAAATTTTATAAATTTTCATACTGTAAGTACATTGTTTCTTTGAAAATGGTGTGTGGATTAATACTGGCTCAGATATATTTATTATTATTTAACTGTATTAGAAAAATAAAAGAAGTATAAGGAGTCAACAAAAGTTCAAGGAATCGTAATCTAAACTGAGATCTATAAGAAATAATGTTCTTACAAAGAGGTTTACATAATCCATGGTTTTAAAGTTTTTAAATCAGGGTTAAATTTTAGAACCTGTCTTAACAGTCTGCCTTTAATTATAACTAACAATATGCAATTGTTATGAACTATTAACCATATTTTGATGATGACAGCTTGAAAAGATGTCTATTTATCTGAAGATAATAAATTACAATTGAAATTATGATTAAAGTAAGTAAAATTTTATAAATGTATTTAAGTTGTGTGTTTCAGGACTTGCTAATTCTAATAACCTTAGACAACTGATAATATAATAATTAAAAATATTAATAATAATATTCATGGTTACAAGAAGTAAATTCTACTATACTAAGCACTATAATATAAAATGAGATTTGTTAAAAATTCTGTAAAATGTTAAAACAATCTATTAATAAATATTTAAATTTCCAGTCTTACATTTTCTTGTAATGCTTCCATTGCTAAAAGATTCTCTTTTGACAATAAAAACTCTTCTTCATCCTCACATACTAAATCTCTTTCAAGAGATGTTTCTGGATTGTGTTCCATTCTTTCCATCAATTTAATTATATTTTGTTTGAGAATAGAAAATTTATGTTGTCGACTTTCCTGAAATCCAAATATTTTAATTTGTCAATAAAATACTTAATGAAAAATTAATACTTTACTGCAAGTTTCATAAATCCTTATAGCAACATATTTTCAAAAGCAATGTCAATGAATCTGACTGACTTCATGTATAATTTATCTTAGAGCAGTGTTTCCCAGTGTGGGGCCCACACCCCACAGGAGGGCAATTCAATTGTTAAGGGAGGCAATTCGAAAATGGACTTGTCCAGAGTTTAAGTTAACCGTATAGCCGCTGTATATGTTTCGGGGGGGGGGGGGGCATAAAAATTTTAGAAAGGCTTAGGTGCGGCATAGCACAAAAAAGGTTGGGAAACACTGCCTTACAGCATGGGTTGCCAAAGTGGTCGCTATCAACCCCCCAGGGGTTGATGTAACATTATTGGGGGGGGGGTCAATGCGGCTAAGGGGTCGATTGGGGAGGGGTCGAAATTAAAAATTGAAACTAAAAATCACAAATATAACTATACATATTCTTGTTTTTGAATATTGTTTCAATGAATTTAATAGTAGAGTTACCCATCATCGTGTAAAATGGCTACAGATCAAGTCACACAGGACAGAGGGATGGACAGAAATTGACGAGTCTATGCTCCGGTTCTTACTTACGTAGCACATCAAGCATTTGCAGCATTCATAAGCTTGTATCTGATTCTCAGTACGCTGACATTATTAGCAATTCTATAGCCATTTTTAGATGCTGTTCATTTAATTTTAGTATTCCATGTAAATACTGGTAAAGCATTCTATAAAGCGAACAAAAGTAACTACTACAAGTTTCTAACCAAGTTTCGGTTGCTACTGCTTCACTAGTGCTCACTAGCTGCCCCTTAACACCCGTTTAATTTTCAAAATTACGCTCTAAAAAAACCATTTTTTTAATTTTTGATTTTAAATATTCATGTTGGAGTGAAAGTGAATACGAAAAAAAAAAAAAAATTTAGAAAATTAGTCCAGTTGATATTTGCAGAATTTTACAAGTAGGCTTTGAGGGAGGTCAGGGTTTTGGAATAAAGCAATTAAAACAAAAGATTTTTGGTCATTACTACTATCTCTCAAGGGACTGACTTAACTGTTGTAAACCAATTAGATTTTGTATATAACTATGAAACTTGCAGAGGTCACAGACAAAGGTCTATAGAAGGTAAGCAAATTTTATTCAATAAAAATACTAGCATAGAAAGCTAAATAATTGTTTTTTTTTTTTTCAAAACAAATTTTGTTCGCTGGAGTCAGACTTGAATGCATGCGTTGAGTCCCACATCGCTTAAGGCAGTAATGAGCTAGACTTGGTTATTTACAACCAATAAACTATTCACTGTGGCTTTTGATTGTGTATCTATTTGTTAAAAGAAAAAAAAAGTATACAACTAAAGCAGCAATGCCTCATTCATTGTATTTAATATCCAAAAGCTAGGATTGATGAAACAGTGGTGGCGGTGTTGGAACGTTACATCAATCACACTGGCCACTTTATTTAAACACCAGGCGGCACCAGTCAAAGAGGGCCAACTAGGCTAAAGTCTCTATATAAACCAACCAAGCAGAGTTGCCAGATTTGGCTACTTTGCACCAAATTTGGCTACCCTGTTTTTAGTTTTGGCACATTGGCTACTTTTTGGGCTACATAAATTTGACTCAGCTACGTTTTTGGCTAAATATTATTTATAAATATATTATTTGAATAAAAATGCACTTTAAAATTGTGTTTTGTCATTTTTTATTAATTAGACCCAAATAAAACAAATATTTGTGTTTTTCAAATAAACTTTTGTCTGTCTTCTTTGTAATAAATGAATTTATTTCTAAGTAAAAATTGAAAGTGTCTGTAGAAGTAATTTTTTAAAATATTCTTTTCTTGATAAAATTTTAATACTTATTACTATAATCTAGACATGTTATCCCCTAAATAATAAAAATAGAAAAAAATAATACAGTAGAACCTCGAAAACTCGGCCTAATGTGGACCGAAGAATGGCCAAGTTTGTGAAAATGCCGGGTTATCGGGAATGGCGTTAAAAAAGGATAAGTATGCGTGTTTCCTCAGAAAATACTGTACTGTACTTGTACGTATTGTTTGCTTGAGAATACAACAGAGAATAAACTGCCCAAATACCCTTAAACAAAGGAAAAGTACGTACTTTATGAAGGCATAGAGCCTTTACTACATGAAAATGAAAATTAATGAATACACTGTGTACAGTAATTTACCTGATAAGACAGACCTCAGAAAAATACTTTATGAGAGCTTTTATACTTTTATAAAGCTGTCTATAATGAAAATTAATTAACTAAGGATTTTTTTGCCCTGCCAG